GGGGGGGGGGGGGGGGGGGGAAGTGAGTTATGATGATTCATGCTGTCAATGCTTGTGTGTCAAAATTCGGATGCACCGTTATTGTTCATAATTGCTATGTATGCTTCAGTATTGTAAAGGTAATCCACAGTGTATATTCGGAGCCAGTGCCTTTCTCAGGCTTTAGTTTCTCCTGCTAGATTACTTCTCTTTAAGCATGTGAATCTATGCAGTATTTGGATTTAACTTTATATATGCATGTAGAGCCTGTTGTGTTTTCATACTCCCTACAATCATGATTTAGTCATTTGTTTAATTTTAATTGTGAATTAGGATTTACATAAATAATAATGAAATGAGAGCAGACATAGTGCTTTCATGGGATGATTTTTTTTTAAGATGGCGAACATATGAAAATTAAAAATCTTCTTTGAATTACATGTTCCCTATTTCCATTTCTGAATTCTGTCCATCCTTCCACTTTTCTTCCGCTTTAAATTTTTCTTCTCACAGAATTTTATCCTTCATCTGGCACATCAAGTAGCAAGATCATTTTGCAGTTAGAACTTCATATCTCCTTTTCATCTCATGTACAGCGCTGAAATTATCTATTCTAGTTAGGAAGTCCATAGAAGGGTTCATATTTGCATGTTTGCAAGCTCTTTTGCTCCGTTTCTCCTTCCTGTCTTCAGTTGCTTGTAAGTCTGTGGCTTGATCCCTTAGATGAAACGGTACCTTTGGGAATTTGTTCAAAGTCTCAAGGATATAACTTATTTTGCACATGAATACAAAGGTAGTTCCCTACCCTGTTAGGTTCAGAAGAAGAAAGAGTGAAGGGACAGAAATTTCATTATCTGCAGTATTTCACTGAACTGGAAGGTGTTAGGCTTCTAGCTAGGGGTCATTCCAGGTTATTTGTAGAAGTCATTTACTAAAAATACTGTCAGACCATTTGAGATGTCACATGTTGGGCTTTTAATTTTTGATATATTCTATTGTATGAGATGCTTTCATAATAATTTTGATTTATTGGTGTTTTAACAAAACAGGAACCAAAAAGTTTGTGCTAAAAAATGGCTGTGGAGGAATTGATTTTTGATCGGTTTTGTGTCTAGTTACGTATTTGTATATGCATGGTCTGTCAGTGAGCATCTTTACATTCTCGGCTTTTATGATGTCTGTAAGTTGATAAAATATGCTTGAGATAGCACTGTATATATGTAATAAGGGGGTTTTTGATGGAGCTTGTTTGAAAGTTGCTTCACTATAGCTTTTCTATTTAGTTCTGACCTTCTGCAACTTGTTTTCAGAATGTCAGAACTGTAGCTTGCCTGAACAGTGGAAATGGAAAAAAAAAAAGCTGTAGAGTTGAAAGTTTACTTACAGTGTTAACAGTAGAACTAGAATTGAATTGTACAAAATCATAAAAAAACCCACACAGAATAGGTAAATAGCTAGGACTTTGTTGAAACACACCACTGACTCTTGTAAACTGCTAGGTCTGTTGGTTATGTCAAAGCTCCAGTGTTAGATAAGTAATTGCTTTTAATGTGGGATTACAGTACTTCTCATGATTCAGAATCCTAAAGTTCTTTCTGGTTTTGTTGTTAGATCAGATCATCTTGCCAGTTCTCTCATCTTTCTGTGTATTTCTTGTTGTTGTGCAGTATAACTAAAGTTTTAGTTTCATCTCTTTTTTTTTTTTAATTCAGACCTCACAAGTTTTTCTTTTTGAGGGTATGAGACAGATGGTAGCATAAAGTGTTAAGTGAGTTGGCTTTACAAAGAGTCTTGGGCAATCTGATGTGCTACTTGCAGCTAAAATGTATGAAATACACATCAAAATACAGTTAGAATAAAACACAGAG